CCTTTGGAGACAAAAGGTGTGATGTTATGTTATCATAGATATACTTATGTACAATGTTAATCTGATAGCCTGGAATAAACAGCTCAATTTGAAGACATCATGACATCACGGTGTCAGGTGTTAATTCGCATGCAAACACAAATTGAACCGAGACCCGACCTTAAGTGACATTGACAATGACTCATTGCACACAAATAGCTTTTTTGCGAAGTTAAGATTGATTTTTTTGCACTCTTGTGGCATGTTTGAACATTACTTCACGTCTTTTTGTAAGGAATATGCCTATTGCCATATAGGAAAACCTGAAAATCCAAATTGGTATTCTGTCCGACTGAGAATCTGAGACCTCTTGCTCGCGCTATTCGACTATCAAGCATAATATATGTTTAAATTAGTTTCTAAGGAAGGATATTTATGGCCCCGTTTTAACCCTAATTCGTCTCGTAACTAAGAGTAACTTATTATGAGGGAAACTTAAGTAAGTACCATTGTTAGGTATCACTTAAAAGTTGGTGCAATTCAAAATATTGTTAAGTGGTTCCTCCAATTGTAAATTAAATAATTGTCTAATGTTATTTCAGTCTTCACGATATGAAATGTTTGTTCTGAATTTACTGAAATTTTAATCCATATTATAACTTTTCATTGTAGGTAAAACGAAAATATAGGTATATATTAATTACATAACATCACGCCTTTTATTCCCGAAGGGGTAGGCAGAGGTGCACATTATGCCACTGTACAATGTAACACCCACTTTTCACTATTTATGTTATGAGTCCCGTGTAATAGGGGGTGAGCCTATATCTAATTATTATTATTTATTTATACTTTATGTAACATATACTTCCAATGGCGGGCTTAATGCCGCTTAGCATTCTCTACCATCCAACCGCGTCTGACACTCCCTCTCGCCTCACCTGGGCGGACATGTCATTAGATGATTTTCCCCCTCAAAAAGGGTGATGCAGAGAAGTGTAACAGTAAGTTTTGAATAACTATTTAATATTACTGACTGAAAACACAATAAATCCCAACATCATACACCTCTACCTACCTATCTAAATGCAATGAAGCGTGCTATAACCAACAAGTATACAAACAGCAAAAAACAAGACAAAACTCACGATAACTACCATAAACAATGTGACAATACCTTTGTCTGTATGTCTGTCATATATTCACATACAACACAATTTTTGTAAACCATACAATTGCTATTGTAACAACCTTATAGCCTGGTAATAAGAGCTATTTTTAAATTACGTTACGAGGGAACTACTGATAGATACTACAGTCTATAGACTGGTTTCCAAGGTAATCCATTGTGATGGTTAAATGTATAACAAGCCTCGACTAGGAAGTTTTTATTCAATTCAGTTTTATGGTTCAAATTGACTGTTTACCGTGTCGATCCTGACCGAGTTGTAGTCGAAAATATAATGTCTTCTAATGCTGAACTACGAACTGTAAAGATAGTTAAATTACGTTTTGTTTTGTAATATACCTTATTCATCCATTAATTGCTAAAGGACATCGCCGTAAGTATATCTGATTAATTTTCCTCTAGTCAATGATAAAAGAATGCAGGAACAATTAAAGTTACCTACATATATTTGTGTCGGCAATAATATTTTAAGTTTAAAACTACGGGAAAATGTTGACAGTGTGTAGGCTGAAATAATTAAATGCAGTGATAACTAATTAATTAGCTTCAATTAATTAATTGCACTATATTCCTGTAACGCATTCACGCGTACCTGTTATACTGATTGAACAAATTAATACAAAATTAGTTATCCTTAATGTAACTGATACAATTACATTAAAGGGGTAACAATACAGGAGTCTCATAGATACTTGTTACTTGTATTACGTTAAAACACATCAAAAACATGTTTTTCAAAACATAAACGTCAAACCGCACAGTACCACCGTCATCCACAATCCATGGCGAGTATGAATCACTAGTTTATACCGAGAAGCCTTGATCTGCGGCGACGTTATAAAACGAGCGGGGCAGCTGTATGCCGCCATTTAATTGTGACTGTCCGACCGCACCGCACGTGTCGCGAGCTAACACAACCCAAATATTAAACAAACAATCAACATGAGTACTACCAGCGCATCCTCCGTCCTCCTGTTCATTCTGAACATCCTGCACGTGGTGTTCGGGCTCGGGGTCACCTGTGCTGCCATCTGGTTCTTCGTTGAGGTGCACAGCATCACCAGTCTGCGCAACACCAACCACTACCTGCTCGACTACAATGTGTACTGGCCGCAAGCCATCCCCTGGGTGTTCATCTTCGTCGGAGTGTTCGTGGTGTGTGTGTCGTGCTGTGGCTTCGTCGGTGCTAGGAAGAAGAGCAGTGGCCTTGTAGTGATGTACATCGTGTTCGAGGTGACCGCTATCATAGCGCTGGTGACGGCCGCGGTGGTCGCGCTCACCTGCGCCGACAGCAGCTCCACCGACAAGTTCATCCAGGACACCGTCTGGGACGTGTTCACCACCATGAAGAACGACCGCAACGTTGAGGTAGACTTCGGTAACATGGAGAAACGCCTGCAGTGTTGTGGTGCGTCCAGCCCACGTGACTACATCAACTGGCGCCGCGACTTCCCCGTGTCGTGCTGTGACACATACTACCACGGTTGGATCGGCCAGTACAACATCGACTGCGACTTCACCAACAAGCTGGCCAACGAGCGCCACGGCTGCACTGAGGTGGCCACCAACTACACTCGTATCATCATCCGCGTGCTGTCCGGCGCATGCGCATTCACCGCCTTCCTCGGCCTCATGAACCTGATCGTGGCCGTCACGCTGTCCAAGAGCATGAAGAGCAGGCCGAAGCCGATGCCGGTGCAGCTCGAGTCTGAGAGCAAAAAGGGTTTGTTGTAAGTTAACATGTTTGTGTAGCCGTTGTGTGTGACAAGGTTCTCTCGACCAGTGTTGAATATTGACTTAACTAGTTTTTCCTTTCACGTGAAGCGAGAAATCGTAGTTAAGTAACATGTAGGAATGTTACGTGTGTGCGAAGTGATAACGCAATACTAAACAGTTTGCGACAGTATTTCTTAGTGGAAGTATTTATTTTGTTAGGTTTAGTATAAGTATTGCGCATGTGCGGTATATTAGCTTTAACGATGTATCCACCGGTCGCTCGGTCGCTCGAGCTTAGAGCTTCTAGTCTTAGACGCGACTCGAAGATTGAATGCATTCAATTGAATCGTCCAGGCATGTGCAGTACGGACAAAGAGTTTGAATGAGTCAATTTAAGTAGCCTTAACTACGAGGTAATTGAATCGGTGGTTAGTCATATAATGGCGCTCTGTCCTCCATCGCCTGAACTTTACGAATGACGACTGACCTTTGTATTTCTTAAGCAAGATGGACAATCAAGATAATTGTCTCTGATATATTTTACACATTTTGCTGTAAAATGTTGGTTAAAATATATCAGTGGTGGATTTTAATTAGTGCTATTATCCAGTAGTGTTACGATAGTTGAATATATCGAGTGATAATGAATGTTAATTGACTTCACCGATCTGGTTTTGAATCTCAAAAACAATACAGTATCGTATTGTGACGTAGTTTATACAAATGGTGTTTTAATGTTCTTACAAAGACCAGTTTTATACGATTTTCCTTAGTATGGTTGTAGTGGCATTTAATAAATTAATACTTATATCGTGAATCCGTCTGTTATATAAACTTTAACCTTTGAGGTAACACTGTTATGTAGGACACTCATATTTTATGTATTTATTAGAAGTTATGAAATAGATATTTTAATATTATTTCATTGTAGCATTATTACATGGTCTTAAAAAACTGTAGCTTCATGGTTAACTGACTGGATTAGTTGTTAATCATGAGGCATTGGGTTCGAATCCCAAGTCGAGCTTTGTCTTAACGTTTTTTCTTGAGGAAAAATTCAAAGTAGCAGCTCGATGGTTGACTATAGACACATAAGGAAATAGTGACAATAATACAGTGTAAATGTGCTTATCCCCTAGTGATGTGAATTTGTATTATTATAAGTGTATTTGTTTCCTTTATGTAATTTCAAACATTCCTGTAAATAGTACTAAGAAGTAAATTGTAAAGTTTTCAAATGATGTTACTGCCAGTCCCATACCACAGTACCTCAGTTGCGTTATAGCAGCAAAAAGCAAAAACAACATTTGAAAACGTACAAATATGAACTTTAACAGCCTAACATTAAAGACTTGATTTGTTACGCAAAATGTTCTTACGTAATATTTATTTTTCTGTATGTTTATCACATCATCGTGAATTATAGAAACTCTATAAGTATGTCGTGTACCTGTGGAGTTGAGAGTTGTGGTCCAAAGATTAGGCTGGTTACATACCGGCAGGCGGCGTCAAGCAACCGTCAGACGAGCTTGACGTCAGCTCGATAGATATAAGTATTGATAGCATAGATTTAAAGTTCAAATTATGTTGTTATTTTATAAGCGCTTTGTGTATTTGCATTTTGATAATAAAATAGACTGGATGTTTTAAATAATGATTTGTTTCCTTTATGTTATTTACAAACACTTACCTGCATCAATTTTACACATGACACACCCAAAAATAAAAATAAAAATGAAGCGAATGAAAGAAATTAATTAAATCTGGAGCAGTGCACAGTAATGCATTAACAAATGATCACTTAAAAATATTTTATTGCGACACAAGTCATTAATAAATGTTTATTAATGAATATAATTGAGTCATACGAACAGGAACAATAAATATACAATTACGATAATTGCTCATCACATAATAGTACACATTGCACTGCTAATCAGGTCAGATACTATATATTTTTGGTTGCATCAGTTATGCTTGACAAGTGCGACTGATCGTTTGTGAGCGTAAGCTGCGCTAGCGCAAGGCAAGGTGCGGCCAAAGTTTATAAAAGTAGTTGCGTCAGGCGCACGCCTCTCATTCCGTTGTCAACCACACGCGCGCGCGGACCTGCATCATGGGGAAAGACGAGCTTATCAAAAACGTTCTCTATGTTATGAACATTATCTACGCGGTGTTCGGACTCGTCACCGCGGCCACTGGCATCTGGTTCTTTGTGCAGCTGACTGAGTTCGTCGGCCTCAGGAACAGTAACCACTACCTACTGGACTACAGGATCTACTGGCCCCAGGTGGCACCATGGCTGTTCATCCTACTCGGAATATTCATTCTCATGATCTCCTTCTGTGGATGGTGCGGTGCCAACCGGGAGAGCCGAGGGATGCTCGGCCTGTTCGGGCTATTCCTCGTCCTCATCGTCGTGCTGCAGCTGATCGCCGCCACCCTCATCTTCGTGTACGTTGATGGAGAAGACACCGACCGGTTCATCAAGGATACAGTGTACGATGGATACTACAACTCACAGTCCAACCCCGATGTGTTCAAAGCTTTCGGAAAGATCGAGCGCAAGCTGCGGTGCTGCGGTGCTAACGACGCGCGCGACTACAGGAGCTGGAGGAACGACCTGCCGCTGACGTGCTGCCTCGACAGTTACTACCGTGCTACTTGTGAATTCACCGACAAAGAGGCGAACGAACGTCTCGGTTGTGCTAAAGTGGCCTCAGTGTACACCAAGATCATCAGCTCTTCAGTGGCGGGAGCCTCGCTGCTCATGTCGCTGCTGGAGATATGTGGTATAGTGCTGGCGTGGAAGCTGTTCCACTCGCTGCGGGAGGTGGAGCACTACATCACGGAGCGCAAGGAGGGTGAAACGGAGTGCTAGGTGTTCAGTGCCACAGTATTATATCGATACCGCCGATCGATGCCGCTACGGTAGAGACTCGCAACGATCCGACGCCGACGGTCGCAGCCTGGAGTAACTTTCCCTTTCTAAGTTTTCTATCTTGCATGGTGTCTGTTTACTTCTGAATGAAGTTCGTTTCCTTGTCGAAAGGAAAGTCTGAAACCTTTGTTCTCCTAGATCTGATATAATTACATTCCACGGTTAGTGTTAATTCGCTTTAATTAAGCAATCTCATAGTGTAATCCGTGTAGTCTCGCTCCGCCACGCCTTAGGTCAAGCTGTGCATTAACGGCATTACGCGAGTGAGTGGGCCCCGAGCCTAATCATTCGCTTCCTCCTTAGCTCGATGAGTGTACCTGCTTGTGCAGTGCCTCAGTCGGACCTCATAATTGTACCTAAGACCTGGTGAATCTGTCGGCCTCGCCCCACCAAGTGTCTTCGACACACACGATTAACATAGTTAGGTATACATAGCTCGGTATGTAAGTTTCGTAAGTTATATTTCGCGTTAATAGGCGTCCATGGACGAGTGGAGATTGTGAAGCGATAGAAGGCCGTCTATGAGAAAAATGTGACCTCAGATTGGGCAGTGGGCTGTAGTGAGGAGTAGTTAGCGCGGTACAAGGTACTGCGTGTGCCACATTCGGGGATTGTGTAAGAGTGCGAGGTGTGGCATAATGGTGGTCGTGTTGTCGCTCGCGTTTCTAAGTTTATTCAGCTCGGTCCATCGAAATATGCAAATTTTTACGCAAGACCGTATTGTGAGTGTATAAAGTATGCTCAGCAGAACTTATGGTAATTTATTACGATGACGACATATTTGGGTTTCATAATATTAGTAGACGCGGCGTGTGTCGCGTAGTAGGTGCAGTAGTTGTAGTAAGACATGTGCCAAGTGTTGGTGTTCATAGCTTGCGTTAATCACAATAATGGAGAATTATATTTTTTGTATCGAGTTTTATGTTTATATTTATAGAATTTTTTTGTAAGTTTTTTGGAGCGTACTTCCGTCCTTTATACCTATATAAATGAGCCATATTTAATATATTTTAATAATTGTGTGTTTGTAACAGCGTGTGTACAATTGCCAAAGAAAGTGTAGGTACAAAACTTTCATTGAAAAAAAGGAAAATATATTTTTTGCATGTAAAAACCATTTATAAATGATAGTAGAGTAAGTCAGTAACCGAAACAATGATTACCGATATAATATAATATATAGCTGATAGTTGTAAGTTATTTTTATACGATACCTAATAAAATGTCATTTAAGTCGAAACTAGTCTTAAGTCGTTCCGTTTTAAAATAAAAATTAAATGTTAAAATATGTCAGAAATGTATTTTTAATAGTTTCCTCGTTCTTATGCTAATTATCACAGAGTCACGTTTCGACAAACTAATTTATTTATCTGAGAACACATTCTATTGACATTTACATTTTATATATAAAGGTGACGAAATATATACATTTTGAAATTAAGTTCGTGTTTAATTATAACCTTAATAATATCAAGGAAGATGACAAAAGATAAAACAAAGAACCTCTTACACCGTAATCGGTTAAATTAGATAATTCCACCACTTACTACATAATTGGAATTTCCTCTTTTCATTATATAACTTAGAAAGTTATTGACTCACACACACACACACACACACACATACATACATAAATCAACCGTAACAGTCACCATAAAATATACATACATACATAATATAAAGTAATTTCGTGACTACCAGACCGACCGACTGATTTAATTTAATTATTATGGAAATAAAATCAATTTGTTTAAGTAAAACTTTTAGGACAAAAAGACTAAAAATTCTGATCTGAATCTTTGCAAAAAACGTTTATAATAAATACTATAATAAATCTAAGGAATTTATTTGTTTGTTTACCATCACTGGAAGTATCAATTTTAATAGATTTTTGCATGCAAATGTCCTGTTTTCTAGCTTTGAGCTGAATCTTTAAGAGATAGAATAGATGTTACTAAAAATAACAATTTTTGTAGACAATGACTTTAACATCTTAATATAACAACACGCCTCTTTTCTCCGAATGGGTAGGCAGGCGTGCACATTTTAATGTGACCTCATTACCGTCCATTACCTACTATAATATATCACCTAATAAAACTTTACCCGACCCAGAAATCGAACCCGAAACCAACCACTTTGAACCCACCTAACGAGCCATAAAATTTTCTAAACACGTGTAGCAAAAATAGATTTCTATTTTCCATAGTGAAAACTCGTTTATTGAATATACAAACATACACATAGACACATACTATATTATATAATCACTGGTGGCCCTTTTTTGCCCAAACTAGTTGTGAGAAAAGTTTAAAAGTATTTGCGTTACGTCACTAAGTACGAGGTTACATCACTATGCCCACAGTAGGGCAGCGCCATCTTGGATTTAAGGTAGGTACTGTTTTCAAAAAGTGTGTCAGGAAAGTACATTATGGTCGTGGGTACAGTTCGTTGATGACCCATTCATTCATCCGAATACACATTTTGGAATGAGCACCTAGCTTTATTGGATGATGGATGATTCTGTGGTGACGTTTAAAAATTGCTGTTTATGGATGAAAAGAAATTAATGCTTTGAATTTGATTTAATCTACCATTTTCTATACCTTTCCTTTATTTCGATAAATAGAGTTATTTCTATTCATAATAACTAAAGATCGCGGGTTATTCACTTGAATATGCTGAGAAAAGTCTACTAGTTGGTTGCGCGACATCGCTGCGACCGCGTACGCTGCTCATGAGGAAGATTCCCTCTGTGGCTTCAAACTAGTAGAGCTTTTCCCCCACGATTTTTAGTTAATTTAGTATATCTCACGATAGTTATTTATATTCACATTATCTAGAGTTGGTTATTTGAATAGTTAAACATTACGCTTCAAAAAACTGACGTTAAAGACTTCGTACGGTATATACGGTATATTGCAAGGATTTGTGAAATAGTCCAAGTCTTCTCCATAGAGTTTTTCCAAGAATATAGTCCACGACTTATAACTAGCTTTCTACGATTGATAACTTCGATCACTGAGTCACTATAAGTAACGAAATAGTTTAACATAATAGGTAGGTACGTTATTTTTTTAGGGGGGGGGAGGTAAATCATCCGATGACTTCTCCCGTTCGGGTGAGGCGAGAGTGAATATCAGAGTTTTACTGACTAAAAACCACCCCGTTCCTACTCCTGCACTTCGAGCCGGAGCCCTCCGGCAACCCGTTAAGTCCTCCGTGGCGCCGTATCGGCATCAGTTCTATTGGGCCCCATCTATGGTGGTCTGATGGCTCTTAATTACCTTTTTTTTTTAACCTGTGGATATCCTCATGGATACCCTTTGTCTAGACAATGAGCGTCAGACAGCAGGTTATGTCGGACTCTTACCGACTAAAACCACACACTCAATCCCAGAAAACAATGAGAGAGTCACTGGGTACTCGAATGAACGAACTCACCTGCGACACTCAAATTATGTTACTACCTCCTATCTTTTCAGAGTTAAATTCAACGGCGATTCCTACCGCGCCGCCTTTGTCTCCGAGTTGGGTCTATCCTCTCTCGATCTCTCTCTGCAGTTTCCTTTTGAAACATAACAGTTTCACAGAAGGTGACTACGGCTTGCCAAGCTGTTGGATCTGCTAACATAGCTGAGATTACAGTCGGCATGCAAAGGTTGTGGCCGATTATTTCAACCAAAACACGTCGCTAGCCAAGCCATTCAGGACAATCCTGAAGCGTGTGTTGAGCGGTGTCTCGATCATCTCCACAATGATGACATCTGGGTGTGGCTTCACGACCTATTCTATTCAGATACTCACCAAGGCTCTTAATTACCTAGAGTTGAATAAGAAGAAGAGAGCATCATTATCATTATAATCAGCTGGAAGATGTCCACTGTTGGACATAGATCTTATGAAGGTAGGTAGGTAATCGTACCTTAAAAAATATTTTTTTTTAATATTTTTTGAACTCTTGAAATAAGGCTTAATTCTCAGGTACCTACTTAAAACGATAAAGAATCTTTGCACTTAACTGGAGAGTGCTTTAAGACTCTTAAGATCTCTCACAGCTGATTAGAAATCTTAAAAAAATATTGGAAACCCGAAACTTTAATTTTGGACGATACAATGAAAAAGAATCATCTCTTTGTATAATTAGACACCAGGTTCTACTACATCTTTTATTTCTCTCAGGAGGCAGTGTTAAAATAAATATTATACCTCCGTTTCACTTTCACCCTATCCAGTAGAAGATTTTTCTTTTAATGGTATAAACCGGTAAATGTGCAGACGGATCACCTGATGGTAAGCAATCGGCGTTGCCAATGGACACCTGGAACACCAGAGGCATTGCAAGTGCGTTACCAGCCTTTTGGGATTAGGAATTTGAGGATTGTTGGGGATTCAGGGATTGGGTAAAGGGGGGGGTGGGGGTCTCCGGTACCCTCACTCACACGACGAAACACAACGCTAGCGTAGCTTTACGTCGGTTTTCTGTGAGGCCGTGGTATCACTCCGGTCGAGCCGGCCTATTCGTGTCGAAGCATGGCTCTCTCACAGTTGATGCCTGATGCGCCCATTGACTAAGGCACTTTAGACAGCACATTAACTAAAAAAATTCGAAAAATCGAAGGTCCTATAACTAACACTTTTAATGACGGGAATTGAACCGGCGAATTTGACTTATACTCGCAATCAGTCGACTAAGAAATTCTTTCTAAGAAAATTCGCGGAAATAATTTGATACGATGTCTCATAGACTATAGTCGATGAGTCATAAACTTTCCCGCGCATGCGTAAAGCTATTATGTAGTAAAATGTAACAGTATACTATGTACAAACGAGTTATAAATAACCAGTATAAGCTGACCGTTGCAACTGCGAAAAGATCATACAGAACGAGACCATGATAAATTGGTTACGTATAGTTAATAAAATAACCAGTATAAAGT